CCTGTAGAAAAGCAACCGGTACCCCCTCACCTCTCTCAGATGAGCCAACCCGAACCAGAGACTTTTCATCTCCTGTCGGCTTTCCCCCAATATTCAGTTTAAAAGCTGCTCTGCCACCTTTTTGATTTTAAGTGCCAGCAGCCTGGTTCCTTCTCGGGACAAGTGGAGACCGTCTCGCCTGTACAGCTCCCTCTTGTTCCAAAAAGTATCCCAGTGCCTAACAAACCTGAACCCTTCCCCCCTACACCATCGTCTCATCCACGCATTGAGACTCCTGATCTCTGCCTGTCTCTCCGGCCCTGCGCGTGGAACAGGTAACACTTCTGAGAAGGCTACCTTGGAGGTCCTGGACCTAAGTTTCCTGCCCAGCAGCCTAAATTTCTCCTCCAGGACCTCACGACTGCATTTCCCCACATCGTTGGTGCCGACATGCACCACGACCACTGGCTCCTCCCCAGCACTATCTACCAGCCTATCTAAAACACGCGTAATGTCCGCTACCTTCGCACCAGGCAGGCAAGTCACCATACGGTCAGTACGCGGGTTCGCCACCCAGCTGTCTACCTGCCTAAGGATCGAATCACCCACTACCAAGAGCCCCCCTCCCACCCTGCTCAGGGATGGTTCCTTGGTGCAAAAGGAGAGCCGCTCACCAGCTGGGGAAGAGGTCCCTTCTGAGGGCACATTCCCCTTATCCTCAGCATGGTGCCCTGTTTCCCCTAGACCCTCATGCTCCCTGACAGCAGCGGGGCTGCCAGATCCAGAGTGGGACGTAGCTAACAAGTCCCCGAGAGTCTTTTCTGCGCGCCTAGCTGACTGTCTCTGCTTCTCCAGGTCAGCCACCTTGGCCTCAAGGGAGCACACACGTTCCCTGAGAACCAGGAGCTCCTTGCACCGAGGACACACCCAAGACTTCTGCCCAGTGGGCAGATAGTCATACATGTGACACTCCGTGCAAAACACTGGATAGCCCCCAACCCCCTGCTGGCATTCTGGCTTCATAATTCTTTTAAAATAAATAAATATAATCCCCCTTTTAAACCCTTGGTATTTATGTGGGTTTTGTTATCAAGTCAAATTATTTTACGGGAAAGACAAAGAGCCTAGGGCCTTGTCTTTCTGGCTCTTTTTGGGCTTCTTACAGCGCCCCTTTTTGGGCTTCTTACAGCGCCCTGTAAACAGACATGACCAACTCTCTATTTTATATGACCCAGTCTATGCATGGAAACTTTCTACTATATATATGAAGACATCAATATTGAAACAGCAAGTTCCATCCTACAGACTGTATCAAGAATGTGTCTCCAAAATAAACATTGCCTTTATTCTAAGAAAATAAAGGATTTAAACAAATGTCAGCCACTCCTTACTTCCACCAGGAAATGTTTTAAGCAAGCCTTACTGCATAAATATCTGAGCTTGAAGAATTATAATAAACAGACATGACCAACTCTCTATTTTATTCTAGAATACCATCAAATTCTCCTTTATGATAACTGATTGTCCATTGATCTGCTATGTTCATAAATAAAACATTGAAGAACTAGTATTTCAAAACAATGAACTCTAAGATTAAACATTTCTAGTGACATTTAATAAACAAGGGAACAAGTGTCATAAGACAAGACATCTCCTCCCTCTAGGACTGGACTTGGGCCAGGATCCAAAGTGCCATATGCCCACAAGGCTTCTTTTGGCCCTCTTTTTTAACGGTAGCCCTTTTGCCTACCCAAAAGGCCCCAAAGGTTGGAGGTCCGCCAGGGGGGCACAAGACAAAAGATAAGAGGGTGCTGCCTAGAAGCACTTCATGTACCTGCACAGGCCTCTCTGGTTCCTAACTACAAGTTAACATTTGAAAGACTTTAATTGCAAGTATTTACCACTTTTAAGGTCATCTACAGCAATAATGCTGAATCATGATTTATAGCATTTCTACTTTTGTTTGTTATTCATTTTCAAGCTATTCTTCCCATTAATGAACAACTCTAATCAAAGTAAGAGGACATTTTAGTCAACCAACATATTATTTATGGGTTTTCTTTTCACTGCTTGTAACACTACAGTGTTTTTCTGCTAGAGGAAATCTCATCTGTGAATTGATAGTGACCTTTAATGAAAAATAGGCATAAGGGCAATAGCACAGGCCATTAGTAAATGCCATAAAAAACTAAAATCAAACAACAACTCCTTTTGCCACAAGGATATTCAGTCAATAACACAAATAAGTCTGTGGCACTTGTTCCCATAGCTACAGTAAAGCCAATTAATTTCAGTCCGTTTTTTTATTTCTGGCCTAAGTATGGCTGATAGCAACGAACAATGTGTTTGTTGAAAATTATGTGAGATAGTTATACAAATCCTATCACATCCGTTAAAATGTGTGTTTCATAACTATGAAGGAATTATTCAAATTATGGGATTAAATTTAGACTCTACGCCAATTATTTTGTCTACTCAACAAGGGAATAAATAAAATAACGTCAAATTGGAGTAACCCCTTCCTCATATTTTTATAAATCTCTATTTTGAATAAAACAAATTAAATTATAAATACCTAGAATTAATTTAAAGCACACAGTTTCAAATTGCAGAATGATACTGAAATGCGCCATATGTAAATTGAAGTTCTCATGCAAATGGGTTATGTGACTCACTCAAATAATTCTATAATTGGAGTAATTCCCACAATGTGATTGCAATTTTATGATTACAGTAACTGCTGCAGAAGTTGCACCCCCTTTTTTGGGTGTGGGGGAAAAGTGGGGAAAGTGGGGGAAAGTCTTAATTAAATAAAGAAAAGCACATTGAGTTACCAAATCTGTGATGGTAAAAATGTTATAGAGTCTTCACTTACAGCTCTAAGTAATTAGTTATCAGTACTCACGAAATGGGTTTATAATTCAGATGAAGAAATTCACCATCACACATTTTCTGTGAACAATTTAAATTCAGACTTATGTTTGATGTCATTTTGAATTCTTCCAATGGAAGACTGGTATTTCCCCAATTTACTCCGCTACACATTAATACTGAAACACACCTTTCTTTGTATAATTAACTAGAAGTGAGAGCATGATTATATCAAATGGAATAAGAAAAATACTCAGGAGCATTTGCAGTCTTTGTGCCTTCAAGTTATTTTGTCAACATTCATTTTCAAGTTTCTTTTTTAAAAATTTTGATCTACTTTTAAGATGAATTGTGGCATCCCATGTGCACTTAAAACCACTCTGTATGGTTTCAACCAGTGTTCTAAAAGTACTTGAGGAAAATCTAAGTTAAAATACATCATTATGCTGCAGAAGCAGTGAAAGAACTCTGAAAACAGTATTAACATGTATGACACAAAATTAAGAAGTTTTAACCTCTATCAGAAACAAAGAACGTGGTATATCCATGACAAATTTTGAGCCATATGCAAGTTTAGGAACATTTAAAGAAAAACTTGCTGGATAATCTAAAGATTTCAAGATGCCACAGGAAGTACAGTTTATTTTGTCATTCAACATATATTGTGCAAAACCTCTGAACTAGTTGTCATGGGAAAAAGTATGTTTACATCCACAGCACAAACCAATTTTAAACATACAAAATTTGTTACTTATTGCTTAAAATGGCAACCAAATCAATACTGTATTATTTTTTCAAATGATATTTTTAAAAAGCTACTGATCAGTGGCTTTACTCTCCAATTTCTAATCATAACTCAAAACAATATGTTTATTATTTTCAGTAAACAGCAATATATTTTGTGTGCGCTAGCGCTTGAACTGTATGTGAAGAATAACATGCTTAAAGATATATCCAAAGAACAGTCAAGCAATCCACTTCTTATGCACTGATAAAACTAAGAAAGGGAACAGAAAGGGCCTTAGATACAGGCAAGTGCACAATTACACCATGAACACCTACTGAAGATATTAATTCCTTCTGCAAGACCACAAGGCTCCATGTTGAGATACTTGCCTAGCCTGCAAATAAGGTATGTAGAATTTTATATCTTGACCTCTATTTGAACAGAAACTTCCTTGTGGGCCTTAGGCTTGACTAGGCCCAAACTGCCTTTACCTTCAGTCTTGAACTTTTCACAGCGCTTGATGTGCCTAATAAGTTACACAGCTTTGGAAAATTTTTGACTTCAGATATGAATTGGAAACTTCAAAAGAAGGAGGAAAAAGCTGGACATTGAAGTTTTCTTTGTATCATTTGAAAACTTCTAATAAAGTAATTAAAATCAATACTGAAATTGTTTAGAATATTATTTTTGAATATGTAAGAACATTTTAAAAGTATAAAAACGTACCTGTTTATACTGCTGAAAACACCCTCTCTGAATATAATTATAATGTAGAGTAAGTTTTGATAACGTGGACCCCATTTATCATTTAGAGCATTGCCGATCTGGTCTACTCAAACATAAATGGTGTGAGTCTGTTTCTTAAACTGCAGCTTTAAAATGAGAGGTGTGAAGTTCATAATATAATAATACTAAGATCTGCTATATTAGCTGTCTTCATAATGGGACTGTCTTTTAGCCATTGTGCTGAGTTATCATGCTAAAGGCCTTTCTATATGTTTCGCAATTATCCTCACTGTCTAGGTCAATTGTAAACTGGTTCCAAATATTATGCCACTCAAACCTGTTAGCCCTACTCTACTCTATATCATTAGCTGTATGTATACCAAAGAGTATACATGCTTTGAAACCTATTAAAATTCCATCTGTTCAAGACAAAAACCCAATGTGAATTTTTTTCTGTGTTACTTAGGACCACAAGAACTGAAGCCCCCATGTCATGGTTAATTAACAGCAATGGCTAGTCATTAAGTGTGAAAATTCTCCTTGCTGGTTATACACTTTAACTAAAAAAAAGAAACAAAAAGGGGGAGGGAAAAAAACAGCACTGCAGCACACACAGGGAGAGAGTAACATACACACAAACAAACATAGACACGCACACAAACACAGATACACAAAAGAAACCAGAAAGTCAACTCACAGAATCTCCAAGTCACGCAGGGCTCGAAAGGCTCCATCTTCAATGCAGCTGATCTGATTGTTGTCCAGTTGCCTGCAGGAAGGAAGGAAAAGTATGAAGGCTTGCCTGGTAACCATGCTGCCTGGGAGCACCATGTTCTAATCTCCCCTGTCACTAAGGTGTCCCTCCACCCCCTTGCAGTCTTTGCTTGTCACCAGGAGGAAGCTTGCTTGTAGCCTGCCACGCTGCTCTGTCTCTTCTCACTGACTGTCTGAAAGAGCTGCATACTACAGCACACTGAAGCCTGTCAGGTCTCAGTAAATATTAATTGCGCTTTTTCCCCCCTCTAAGGCAGAAGGGAATAATTTCATTACATTAGGGCATCCAATCCATTATGAGCTTTTACCGTCATGTCACTGAAACAATTTCATTAAGCTAAAGGCCTGTAAATCATTGGAGGTCACCGGGCTGCCCTCTATGACCTCCCAGAATGCTGTTTTTTCCCTTTTACTGGAAGTTGTAGTCCTCTGTCCTGACAGTACTAAATCTCAAGGCTTTATCTTCCCAAGAGCGTCAAGGGTGCACGGGGAATATACCAATTCCAAATTACACTCAACTAATCTAATTTTATAGTCTTTTTATTATTCCAAGCACCAAATGTCTGTGGTGGTTCAATGCATTCTGCATTGTACTGGTCCCATCTGGTAGGCCTGTCTATTGAAACACTTCTGACTGAGCACAGAATCAGCACAAGTGCATCAAGCAAGAGAGAAAGCCACAGCTAGATCTAATCAAGGAATTTCATGTTAAAATATCTACATTCAGAATGAATCCTTAACTTTGGATACATCCAAATATGCTTGGATAAAGGCAGGCGTGCCCAAACCATAAGGAAATGGAAGTAAGAAAATAGCTCATTGCAGAATCTGACCAGTTGTTTCCATAATAACCGACTCAGGCACAAGGCAGATTAGCACAGGTCAACCTGTGCAGCATTCACTGCCTCAAATAATGCTCAAACACAATGGTTGTGCTGACATTTTGCCCAAGCACAACCAGATGCATTCATGTTTCTGGATATAGCCCACTACACATATAGACATTATTATACTGACCCCACTGCATATGGCTCATAAAGAAAGGCAACTAGTGTACACCATGCTACCTCCTTTATTTCTTTTAATATATATGCCTTATGCACAAACTGTAGTATATATAAAACTTTTAATGGCTAAAGTCTTAGCAAGAAAGAGGAATTCTTAAAAAATTATTTCATGTTTTCTATGGGTATTTTATCTTGTTCCTATAAGGTAAGGTTGTCCACAGATTTTTATGGATTAAAAATGGAAATAAATGAGTAAATACATGAATATACTCACACTATAAATGACTTTTTGCCTTTGCAGGTATCACTTACAGTTGCTTACTTTGGCATTTAGTAAATATTTATATCTGCCTTATTTTGATTACTTTGAGAAAATTTAAGTCTCAAAGGTGAGCTCTATAACTTGTTAAAATTATAGAATATTAAGAAATATTAGTAAAAATGAATCTTATTCATAAAATCAACTAATTCCATATGAGATTTTCCTAACAGTAAAATCCAATGTTTTTATAATTTTATGTAGATGAGAACTTACACCCAAAGTATGCAGGCATGCAGTCCTAAACAGAGTTACACCCTTTTATGTCCACTGAAGTCAATGGGCTTAGAAGGGTGTAGCTCTATTTAGGAATGGACTATAAGCAGCTCTGAATTTCATAGTAGACTCCCGACTTTATAACAGACCAATCTGAATTAGTAAAATGGTAGAGCATGTTGAGTTTGCAAAATCTAGTTTCTCCCCATGCAACAAAAGACTATTGCAATCCAGCACCTAATTACTTCCACAAATGAAAATAGGAATGCTTTTGGGTATTCTCACCCCATGCCACCCCCATCACGCAATATATACTGTTGAAAGGTGTTCTTTGCATTCAGAATGGTGTATTAATTTATTCTACAATCGCCTGCCTTGCACTGGCTTCTGAAGCCATGTACTTAGAATCATAGTTTGTGGGGAAGAAAAAAACTCCAGTTTCTCTGGGGCCAAGCGTCCACATTCAGATGTCACAACAAACTGGATTTTATTGAAAGATTCCAAAATCAAGATAGGGGAAGAAGGTAAGGAGGCTACTAGCTTGATGTCCATCACAATCGAAACGAATTTCCGTTTGTCTGTGGTGTCTGAATACAGTCTACAATATTTTGAAGTCAGTGTATCTCTGAATATCAAATGTTGGGCACAAACAGTAGCGGAGACTGTTCGCATCATGCCTAACTTATAAGGTTCACAGAGGCATCTGGCTTGCCACCAAAAGCAAACATAATATTGGGGCTACATTAACCTTTAATCTGTTCCAACAGGGCTTTTTTTATATTCTTACATCGGTACCTGGAAGACAGAAGGACATTGCTGGGGAAGGTAACAGGTTATTTGGGATTATTTGAGGCAAAATACTTTAATTTCATGAGGAATAGAATTTTCAGTCACACATTAAGTGTGGCTTAATATATGAAGATGTTAAAAGGAACAGTAAGTAGCATAATTCACAAGACACACAAGATGCTACTAGGAACAATAAGTAGCACAATTCAAGTACAGTTTTAAAAGAAATTATGGAATGACAAAACAAAAATCATCAGAATCTAGCAGTTTATTTCCTAGATATAGTAGAGCTAAAATCAAAATATTAGTACTTCCTCCTATAATGAGATGAGACCATTTATACCACAGAATTATATATGCCACTACTAGCGTCATAGCGCTTATCCTAAAAATCCTTAAAGAGTAGTTTCCCTGTTATTTCAGTTAAATTTCAGCACCAAAATGCATATTCGCACTGAAGGCATCCTGAACTTTCAGACCTTTCAACATATACTCTCCCCGTTCAATTCTATCAAATTCAACGGTAATTAGGGGAACCAGGTTTGAAATAGAACATGCTTATATTCTCCCATTTTCCCATGAAATGTGCTATAACTGTACTAATAAATTGTAAAGAATATGCTGCAAGACCTTTCTAGGTTAATACAGTAACATAAAAAGAAAGCCGTGTACATTTCATCGGCCTGCTTGAAATTACTAAGACTGAAACTAATTTTAGATGAGCTGAACATATGCCCTACTGGCACATAGTATTGCAGAAGTACGATTTATGTACACCCAGATTAAAAAGAACATCTAAACCCAAAGTGGCTTTTAAAAGTTCTAGCCTGAAACAGTATGTATAGTCACATTAAAGAACATGGCCACCAACTAGACAAGTTGCTAAGTACACATCACACAAGTTTTGGAAGATTTTTAGTGCCTTCAGTGAAGATCAGGTTCCTCTCCCCCCCAGTTCAATTCATAGTGTTCTTACCTTTAGTCGTAAATACTTTGGAACCAAACTCCATATGCTCTTATATGAACCTGCTCAACTATTAGGATCTTCAGTAGAAGCTTGCTTTGAGGGTCCCCTGCCCAGGTCCATAAGCATAAACTACTGGGGGCTGGGGGGCTTACCCCTCCAAAAACCCCTCAGAATTTTCCAGGGGGGACTGATTCCCGTTCCTCTGGCCGTGCAGCCCGAGAGGAAGGCATGCCATAGGGTCTGGCCTGCTTGCCCCTCATCTCGGCCTGGCCAGGGTGGCCCAGCTGGCTGTCTCTTCCCCCGCCCCACTCCCAGCTGTCCCCACACCTCTTCCTCTGGCCCGGGCTCAGGGGCAAAAAGGACCCACAGCAACCTTGGCGGGCTGCAGGATCACCTGCCCTCACTGCCCATTGGCAGGTCATCATTGCTGCTGCTGTCCACCTCAGGTAATTGTGACGCCACAGCCGCTTTCTCTTGCGGAACCGGCTCACCTCAAGTGCCCACTAGCCAGAGGGATGCACTGCTCTCTGGACCCCCGGATTCCCCCCTCACACATGTGCGGACGCTCCCACCTTGAACTAATTTGCCAAATTGATGGCTTTCTTTAAACAAGATTTCAGAAAGGCTTGAGAGCTATGCTTCCTGTGGGACAGATTATCCAGCGCCAAGGGGCCAGGAAGAAAATGCAACTTCTCCCTCACAGGTATCTCTCTCAAAAGATCTGTGTGCCTGAAACACCAGCAGACTGAACAGAGAGAGCAGAATTTATTTGGAAATAATAGTCACTATTAGTTGAGGCTCCCCCTCACCACCCAGCTTGAATATCTGGAGTTAATCATTGTTCTGCAAAACCACAAATAATGTTCCTTGTAGCTCCCCTGTACTGAGAGTGTCCCGGCGGGAGTGCTACTAACCGTGTTTTGTCAGGCACTATCAGCAGTATTGAGCCAACCTGAGCAATCCATTATTAAGCCCCAGGCTTGGGGGGGGGGACTCTGGCCCAGGAAATTGGAAAGTCTACACCCTTGCCCAGGTCCATAGTTTGAAATTTGGTCTTCTGAGAACTTCAATTATAGTTGACCATCATAGTTCAGTGAAGAATGAAAAAAGGTTTTACAGTTCTAGTTACACTAACACGCACGATTGCTTTAGTTTATTGGGGTAGCCAAAGGAACAGAGAGGGTATTGGTGTAGCTAAAGGAATGGAGAGGACTGTGAACCACCCCATAACTATGGGATTGCCCCACCCATGTGTATCTGAGAGATGTGGCTACTTCACTCATGGCCTTTTCTGTTGTGGTACCCTGTTTGTAGAATTCTTTCATCCAATGAGGTTTAGACACCAGAAGACAGTGCTTTTTTCCAGGGTTTCGACAGTAGGTAAATGTTTATTTGCTTGTGTTCTAAGGTTGGCATTTCATTTGGAGGGGGGTTATTCACTGACTTGCTGATACTGTGATGCTGCTATTAAACTGTTGGATTTATTGGTTTTTGTTTTGAGATATCGGGGAAGGTATTTTAATGACTGTTATGATTTTACTGAAGTTCATCTTTTTATTGTACTTATAATTGTTGTGTTTTATTGCAAGCCACCATAGTGTTGAAAGGTGGCATAAATATATTAAATAATTGACAAAGGAGCAGCTGTCATATTCTGAGCTGCAAGGGACAGTTAAAAGAACCACATCAGAAGGAGA